TTTATATGGAAGTTTAATATCATCCCAGTTACAGCCCATATTATATGTACTGGCAAACACCAATTATGACTTTTCACGTGCAAATACTTAATGTTTTTTTCCTTAAATATCCAACACATTATCAAAACACTAATTGAGCTGGAGTATGAGATCAGAACTTCGTGAGCTGTTTACAGTTTCAAGTCTTATATGAAATTCTTACACCAAACTGCCATAATATGCAACACTGCAATGTATATATACACATTCAAGAACAATTTTAATGGCACTCTTAATCTAGGGTTTGAACATGTGTTGGAACAGAGGTATGGATGATAGCAGACTGTGGCATGAAAGCAGAAGACAGCAGCATTACTACCACCACCAGCAACAATGGGAGCAGGAGAAGGAATGGCCACTCAACATTTACCTCCAAGGTTGTGCATTCCTGGTACTAGAAAGTCAGAAGATCCCAGAGATAGAAAGAGATATGTTGGAGAAATCTTGAGCTCACTGTAAGGTCATCTTCAGTGAGTTTGGAGGTCTTCCTCTGTCATCACCATCATCACTATAGACATCATTATCAGTACCTTCATCATAATCATTAGTCATTATTACCATTGCTCATAATAATGGCAACCATCGCCATAATCACTCTTTCATTGTTGTGATTAAGGGTCATAATTGCTGGAAGAGCTGTACAGACCCTACTGTCAGAACTCTGGAGTCAGATGATTGCTAAGTGGCACATCTCTCCCAGCCGATCAATTGTGTGAAGAAATGTATACTACATGTAATCTGGGACTAAACGACGGAGCATCAGATTAAAATCCTCATCATCAAGGCGAGGCACTGGGACCAAATGATAAGAGCTCCAGATTAAAATCTTCACTATCAAGGTAAGGCATAACAACTAACATTATTATTTGGTTCACAAATTAAAAATGGCAGATATGGCAACATGGTAAATGTGAAGACAGTAATGTTTCTCTCTGTTAGGAGCAGTAAACACTAATCTGAAATGCCTTTTCCTTTTGATGTAACATAAACACTGTAATGTTTCTCTGTTCAGAGTAGCAAACATTAGTTTTACATATATCTCTCTCTCTCTCTCTTTCTTTTGATGTACAGGCAACCCTAGGTCATCTCTGAAAATATTTCACCAAGCATGTATAAATATTCAAGGTCAAAAAATTTTCAAGGCGCTTAATAGCTTAGCTTTTGATAAAATTAAGTCTTTAACAGTAGTCATACACTTCAAAATAAAGAATTAAGGAAATATAGAAATTTTTATGTAATTCATTTATCACTTACAAAGTAAACAGTATCATAAAATAATCCAGGTAGAAATTGCAATCAGAAGTACATTTCTGAGATATGGATAAATGAGAGTGGAGCCATCACTGGGATGGCTAAATACACTGGATTCTTGCAACTTATGCTTGTGATCAACTGGCACCTCCCTGGCCACTTTGGTATTAGTGGCATCAAGTTCAGCTGTTGCAGATTCATTTCCAATTTTGAATCTTAAAGTTTCAGTCAAGTTTTTCTCATATCCATGGAGTTGGTGTAGCTCAGATTGTGTGAAACTGTTTTCTAATATGGAGAGAACTTTAGTTTTGTTTTCAGGTGTTTGCCATTGTCCATCTTCCATGTCTGCTTCGAGTGGTGTTCTTTTGTCACTACGACTGTTTTCCGTGTCTGCTTCTAATTGTGTTCCTGTATCACTATGACTGTCTTCCATGTCTGCTCCTGATGGTGCTCCTGTATTACTATAGCTGGCTTCCATGTCTGCTTTTAGTGGTGTTCTTCTATCACTATGAATGTCTTCCATGTCTGCTCCTGATGGTGCTCCTGTATTACTATGACTGGCTTCCATGTCTGCTTTTAGTGTTCTTATGTCACTATGACTGTCTTCCATGTCTGCTTCAGGTGGTGTTCCTGTATCACTATGACTGTCTTCCATGTCTGCTCCTGATGGTGCTCCTGTATTACTATGACTGGCTTCCATGTCTGCTTTAGTGGTATTCTTCTATCACTATGACTGTCTTCCATGTCTGCTCCTGATGGTGCTCCTGTATTACTATGGCTGGCTTCCATGTCTGCTTTTAGTGGTATTCTTCTATCACTATGACTGTCTTCCATGTCTGCTCCTGATGGTGCTCCTGTATTACTATGACTGGCTTCCATGTCTGCTTTTAGTGTTCTTATGTCACTATGACTGTCTTCCATGTCTGCTTCTGATGGTGTTCTTATGTCACTATGGAGGTCTTCCATGTCTGCACCTGAGGCTGATTTATTCTCCTGTCCAACATGTAATGTTTGTACATAATCACCAAAACTAGTGATATTTGGAGACAAATCCAAAGACATTGCAAGACCATCTAGCGAGTTTTCAGTTTTATGTGGAGAAAAATATTTGTCTGTTAACATATCCATATCCAGATCGTTAAAGTCCTCAGAATCTCTGGGGCCTGGATTTATCAAAGGTATAAAATCAGATTCCAAAATATCCAAGACTACAGGAGCAAAGTTGGCTGACAGCCCACGTTCGATTTCTTGTGCCTTCCTGAGCTGAATTACATAGGGAACAGGTGTTGGAGCCGGGATCACTGCCTCCATTACTTCTTCTTGAAGACTATTTCGAAACCACAAATAAAATACCTCTGCAGGTGAGGCAGGCAGTGTAGGTTCACCACCTGAGAGTGAGGCAGTCAGTGTAGGTTCATCATCTGAGGGTGAGGCAGGCAGTATAGGTCCACCATCTGAGGGTGAGGCAGGAAGTATAGGTTCACCACCTGAGAGTGAGACAGGCGGTATAGGTCCACCATCTGAGGGTGAGGAAGGCAATGCAGATTCACTGTCTGCAGATGAGGCATGCAGCACAGATTCATCACCATCGCCACTATCCACATTGATTATAATCGTTCCTTTCCTGTCCTCCTCACTTCTTCCTATCACTGGTACATTTTCAACATTTTCAAACTCCACAGAGTTTTCCTCATTAGCTTTTGAAAAGTGCTTTTCATTAAAATTATTTTGCTCTCCCTTGTGCACATATTTGTTTGCATTATTATTGGCAGGAAATTTAGAAGTACCAGTGTCGAAGGTGTCATCACCATCCTCATCAATCTTACAAGGGTAATAAGGCTCAACTTCCTTTCCTATACTAACACTCGACTCTGGAATGAATTCTCTGAATATATATTCTGGGGTTACCGAATTGTTATATCCATGGACAGAGCTTCCTGAAGTATTGTATAAATGTGTTGTACTGTTAGTCTGCAAGTTGTCATACTCATCATCTGCCAATGGTATGGAAGACTCTTTGTAAGTACGTGTGTGTTCTGCACTCAAAGTATTTGAATCATGTATCACACTCTGCTTCTCAGGTGAGTGGCAATTTACATGTTCCAAGACATCCAAGTCATGATCATTGTAATGGTATTCATCATAAAAATGTTTATCATCATATTTAATATTTTTTTTAGCATCTGTTGTTTGATCTTTGGTCTTTGTTTCCATTACTGTCATGTTATCTTCAACTTTTGGTGACTCTGTGAGGGTAAAATGTCCATCACTTGGTGACTGTGTGATGGTAACATGTCCATCACTTGGTGACTGTGTGATGGTAACATGTCCATCACTTGGTGACTGTGTGATGGTAACATGTCCATCACTTGGTGACTGTGTGATGGTAACATGTCCATCACTTGGTGACTGTGTGATGGTAACATGTCCATCACTTGGTGACTGTGTGATGGTAACATGTCCATCACTTGGTGACTGTGTGATGGAGCTGCTTACTGAGGATTCTGGGTAATTTTGTTTATTTCCATTAGCATCTATTTTGTGTTTTCTGTATGACAACTGTGTCAGTGTTTCAGAAATATCTTCATTTGACTGAGAATTTGTTGCTATACTAGAGGAGTTAACATGGGCAGATACTTCATGGAGTTGCAGTGTGTGTGTTACTTGCTGTCTTCCAGTCTGTATCTGATGGCTGCTTTTGTTGCCTGAGCCAGCTTCATCTTTTTTCTTACTAACTCTGTCTGCTAATTCATGTCTATCAAATTGGTTAAATATTAATGGTGTGGTTGATGGAGTTATTGATGACCTAGGTGAAGGTGGAGATCTGGATCTATGTTGCTGGGTGTAATCACTGATGGGTGTTGTGATGGGTAGATGACTCCCTAAACTTGTGTCTTCACTTTCTTCACCAGTTTTGAACCCAGAATGTGTGTTCACCTTGTGCTCAGACATGACATTTGGAGGTTTAACATCAACATCTCTAGCTGTTGTTTCTGTTTTATCACCCTTGTTTATTTCTGTTTTTTTCTTTCGTATATTATGCAAGTAGAAGGTATTATTCTGTACAAAACTTGGGTATGGCTGAATTACACGAGGTCTGTTTGTGCTAACTGATCTAATTGTCCCAGCAACTATGGATGTTGGGACAGGTAGTGACCCACTGATGAAAACTACACTGCCAGAGGACTCTTCTTTCTCCTGACCTAGGAGTCTTCCCTTGTTTTTTCTTCTTCTTCTTCCTCTTCTAGGAGTTCTTGCATTCCACTGTCTGTTGTGAAATGGTTTTCTGTTGTGATGTGGTCTTCTTTTTGTAAGCATTGTAGAAATGTTTCTGGAAATATGCTCATCACCTGTATGTTTAAGAGGCAGTATTCCATTGGTGGTGACTCTTCTTAAACCTGCTGTGTGGCTAGTAGTTCCTGTAGCATTACTTGCTGAAGTTATTACTTCTTGAACATCTGGTCTAACTTCAGGTTTTTCAGTTACATTATTGGGTTTTCCATTTGTAAATTCCAATATATTACCATGTTGAAAGTGCATAGCCTCCCGTGCATTTGTTCCTGCAATCTCAGACCTGTGAGCCTCTGTAAAAGGACGTCTTCTAACAGGGCGTCTTGGTCTCCCACTTTTACCAGTAGCAGTTGTCACATTCTGAGGTCTTTTCATAAAAGATTCTCGGCTCTGAAATTTTGGCTTCATCTGTAACCTGGACCTTGAACGACCATGTCGTGGATGGAAGTGTCTCCAAGAGTGTCTGATGCGAGGTTGATGGCTGGCTAGTGATGTTATGTTTTGTGAAGCTCTTACAGACTGAGAATAATCAACTTCCCATGTCACATGCTTATCTCTTGTGCCGTTGGCCGCAACAGTACTGCCATTAGTCACCATTAGTCTTGAAGGAAGCATTGTATTTCTAAAATCTGAACGTTTCTTTACTGCTGTATGATCATACTTCACTTCTCTGGCCATATGAAAATTCTCTGATCTTTTAGACTTGGTCACACCCAAGGACTGTCTAGTTCTTGTAAATGAATCTAAAGGTGAGGTGATGGAAGAATCAGGTAAAAATGAAGTTGAAAAAGTGATAGGCTGTAAGTCTTCAGAGACAGAAGGTGAAATTACAGGAACTGATGTTAATACTGAGCCGTCTGTTGGCCCATTTAATAAAGATAAAGAATTGATGGTAAGATTGACACCAGGGTTTAAAAACTGGTCTTGCTGTAATGCTGAGCTGTGACTGGCATCAGAGTTTGTTGAAGTATCAAACTCTTTGTGCTTGTCTAGCATATCAGCTGAACCAATGGGCACAGGAAGAAAATCAGTTTGGTCTGACAATGTAGACAAATTCAGCTCTTCCCCCTCATGCAATTCTCGTGTCTTAAGTTTATGAAGCATAGTGTGGGTTACTGGGTTAGTGGTATAACGTAACCTTACCACTGACGAAGAACTGAAAATTTCATTTTTATTCAAGTTATTTTCTGAATGCCAATTTTCTTTTATTGATTTTTGCTCCAAAGTTTTAAATGTTGTAGAACTATCTGTATTAACTGGCCAGTAGTTGCCCCTTCCTTGCCGCAGAGGAAGCAGTGGCAGTAAAGTCAAAGGCCTGGTAGTAGTGCCATGTGTAAAGGTTATCATAGCAGGCAGCTGGCTGGTTGGATCATGGTCAGCAGGTGGCTGACTAGTTGGGTCATGGTCAGCAGGTGGCTGGCTGGTTGGGTCATGGCCAGCAGGTGGATAGTTGGTTGGGTCATGGTCAGCAGGTGGCTGGCTGGTCGAGTCATGATCAGCACCTGAGATCATGAGAGCATCCCTAGTCTTGAAGTGCCGAGACTGCCCGACAGATTCCTTCAAGAAGAGTTTACGGTGTTCAAGCTGAGTTCTTGACAAAGCTGAAGTATTGGTATTAGCAGTATGATGCATGGAGCTTGCAGTAAGATCCTTTAATGTGTGGCTGTTTTTTAGGTTGTAACTGGTGGTGTGATGGGCAGGTGGTGAGGCTACCTTGGTCATCAAGGAAGAGGGAATCTGAAGAGGTATCCCTGCAGAGGTAGTGGAGGAGTCTTGCAAGCAGGAATGTAATGAAAAGGAAAAGGCTTGACATATATCCTGCAACACAAAACAGTGAGGGGGCTATAATACAGCTCAATTGCATCTATAGCTATAAAAATTACCTAAAATTAACATGTAATTAAGTCAGGTAATTAAGATACTGAGTTTTTCACACAGTAATAATAAGAAACATGCAGAGATGTTAACTTATAAAGTCAACTGAAAAAAAAGTTTGTATAAATGTTGGTGACCAACACATATTTGTCTGTGACTTATATATTAACTACAAGTAATGAGGTGTAACTGCATTTCTTATAATAACACAAACACCGTCTTCATTTGTGTCTCATTTAATAGGTGTAAGTGTAGCACTAGTGTCTCACATAATAGCTACAAGTGTCACAATATAAAAAATATTTCTTGCCACATATTCTGTCTTCAAATATTTCACATACTGAGCTCTGTACATAATAAAACAATTCAACAATTAAAATAGCAACAAAAAAATAATTCAGTAAATGTTATACAGGAAGCTCAAAATAATAAGTGAGCATGAAAACCATCACCAGAGCAATATTACAGCAGCACTGATAAAAATGACCACCATGACAATCACAATAAATAAATAAATAAAATATATACATATATACTGTTTGTGTGGAAGGGACTTGGACATACACAGAAGGCATGTGTGAGTGTGTTAGACAGGCGTGGAAACAAATGGTTTTCAGGACCTGACGAGCTGTTGGAGTGTAAACAAGGTAATATTTTGTGAAGGGATTTAGGGAAACTGGTTAGCCAGACTTGAGTTCTGGAGGTTGGAAGTACAGCGCCTGCATTCTAAAGGAGGGTTCAGGATGCATAGTTGCTGCTTAGAGGGACATCTAAATAGTTATATCTACATGCCTCTGGCAAGACAGTGATAGTGTGAATGATAGAAAAAGAATTTCTTATTTCAGGTCACCCTGCCTTAGTGGGAGATGACCAACATGTTAGAGAGAGAGAGAGAGAGAGAGAGAGAGAGAGAGAGAGAGAGAGAGAGAGAGAGAGGAGAGAGAGAGAAAGAAGAGAGAGAGAGAAGAGAGAGAAAGAGAGAGAAAGAGAGAGAAAGAGAGAGAAAGAGAGAGAAAGAGAAGAGAGAGAAAAAGAGAGAAAGAG